GGTACGGATTTTATTTCCGCTCCTCTATCCGCGACAAACGTCACCCGCCTGTGGACAACCCTTTGCGCTGGTGACACTTAGTGGAACTTGCGTGTACACGTCGTTCATCCCCCGTATGAATAATTGGAAGTGAATGGAAATTGAAACGAAGATTTGAGTTAACGACAGGAGTACACTTAAAACTAGCAACCGCGTATTTCTCCACAAGCTTCATCGTGTTCTCCAATTTCACCCTTTCCACATCTTCCTATCGAATAACGAGAATATCAACTACTTGGATACTTTCCATTAGGATATTTTTTTCTGGAAAATCCAGTAACACAATTACTCTCCCCAAAACGCCAGATCGAAAACCAGCTCCGGACCGATTTCGAAAGGGAATTCTGGTCTGCACGAGGGCATCAACCGGGTGAAAATCATCGGTGCAAGTTGTTTCCGTTACACAGTGGTCAACCGAGGGCAAGTGTCTCGTGGACGGCGGATATAGCAATCGCGGAGTATTTTTCGCGTTGTTGTATTCGGAGGGTGACCGGTTCCCGATCACGCACGCGACAGAGAGACATTTGTGTATGTATGTCTGTGTATGCCAGAGACGAAGAGAAGAGGGTGGTTAGGGGAGAGCAGGAGCGGTTTCTGGCGCGCGTATGTGCGGCCGCCAGACCATTTGCCTCTGCGGTCTCTTGATTCCTAGCGACTAAATTTTCATCTGTACTCATTCAAGTTTTAATGTGTTTTTGCGGCATCAGTCATTCAAACTTAATCAACAACCAGTTACGCGCTGGTCCGCTCACTCGCTCGCCAGCTAGCTCGCTCGCTCCGAGCGTTTTCGCCAAACCGTCCCCACGGCTATATCACGTATCCGTTCCCATTCGTCCCCTGGCGAGCGAACGTGTGTGGGCGCGACGGAATATTGGTCGGCCGGGCTTGCTCTGTGACGAGAGCGTATTAATTATAACTCTGGTCAGAGGAACGTCAAGAGATGCTTTTGCAGATACCTACGATAAATTGTCGGTTTACCAGCAAATCTCATTTCCAAACCCCGCCATTTTTCCGCTCGTTTGTCCACGCCCCATCGTCAGAGAACAACCAGGCTACGCCTGGCGCACGCTACGGCCACGACACCCTATCCACCCCCCTGCGTTATGTTTCCCCCATTTTCCTTTTACCGCGACTGTTCCTCTATTGTCGCAAAGAAAATTACTATACTTCTCTGAATGTAGATAGTAATTAGCATCATAATAGTTTTCACAGACAGACTAGATTCATCAAATCGATCGAAAATATTCACTCCTTTTGTCATTTATCTTCTAGAAGTTTTGCAAAAACATTCCCCAATTTCTTCATCACAAAATTCTTCCAAAAACTTCATTACTCGCTTATTCGGAAACATGGACGTAGCCAGGTTATCAGTCGGGGGTGCAAAAATATTAACACATCGACTGCCACAGTGAAAAAAGCTGTACGTAGTCAGACAAACTTTATTTTGTTTTTAAAGTCATAAATCGTTGGAAATGTATGCGTTTTGTTAATACAGGATGTTGCTCTTGTTTCAAATTATATTGCAATATTAAATGTTACGCAAAAGTTTTGTAGCTCTGGGAAGGAAGGGGTGGGCAAAATCCAATTTTTTTCTTCTAGGGTGGAGTAAAAGCCACTTTTTTCCGTCTATGGGGAGCAACTGGCTACGCCCATATTCCGAAACGTGGAATTAATAAAAAATTCGTCACTTTTCTAATCCGTAAGTTAAAACTAGATTTTCCTCCGTGTTTCCACAAGAACGCCATTCATCTTCCGCGAACTGCGTCGACAATCAACTTCTCAGGCTACCTCGAACAATTTCCCCCCGAAGAAAATCCTCCATGGTATTGCCTTAATTGGACGAATTCATCTGGAAACACGATTCCACGAAGTCACCGATCGATCGGAAGGCACGCTAAGCTCCTTCCCTCGTGGAACACCAACGAAGACGCAATCCAAATCAGGCCGAAGCGACCGTCGAGGAACGATCCATCTCCAGATTCGTATCTTCCGCGATTGTCATAAAACAATTGACCGTGTCTAGATTATCACGATCGGTAGTGTCGTAAATACTTCAAGATGGATCGGGAATCGCAAATCCAGTTTACCCCCCTCCCAATGATCGAGAACGGAATTGGAATGGGCGATCCATCAACGGTGGATCCAGCAAAAGGCCAGAGCGGGAGCGCGAACGGAAAAGGCATCGTTGCGCCCCGGAGCCAGAGAGATGATCGTTTCCGTAATAAAAATCGTCAACCAGATCGTAGCTCACGTACCTACCGATACGGGGGCCTGGCGAACCACTCCCTGTCGACCAATCAGGGCCCTCTCTCCGCGTCCCCGTTTAATGTATTCAAATGTAAGCGGTAGCAGTGTTTATGTCTTGACATTGCAAATTGTGCCGGCTAGGCCGTAACTTATAGTAATTGCTGCGCGCCGGAGTAATTATTTATACACGTGATATAGCGTATAGAGAGGAGGGCCCCCGCGACTCGTGGTTATTCAGCCCTGGTGTGCATCCTCTGTGCTCCCGATGCTATAATTGTAAGCGTGAATATCGAAAAGTGGCTCGCGGGGTAAAGCGATATTAATATCGGCCGGCACGCGGACGAAACGGCGACTTCGATGCCTCGCGCTAGACACAAGACGGAATCCTGTGGCGCGAGGAAAAACTATTCAGTTGTAGAACCGTTCGGACAGGACGAAGGTAGCTACTATCACCTGGGGAAAGGTAAATCGCTGTCGATTCAATGATAATTGATACGTTTGTATGGGATTTGTCTCGAAGTAAGGAGAAATTATTCGTGTTTCGTGTATAATATGTTAGAATCATTGAAACCTTCAAATTTTTAATGTAGACTCTTAATGTAAAAACCATAAGACATGCAAAAATCGTGGTCTGAAAAAAGTATACCTAATATTGCCCACTTAAGAAATAGTGATTCATTCATGTATACATGAAGAACAAGCATAACATATATTTATATATAATTTAGAATTTGTTGAGAACTTAGTATACCTACAGGTCAGGAATAATAGCTTATAATTAGCATATAATTCCGACACTAGAGATTACGGAAATACATTAAACAAGTCAGAAATTAGATGCTATGCTTCGTACAAATGGGCTCATACTCTAAATATATACACGATAAACCATAAAACCGGAATACTTTAGTAATCCCGTGTAAATAAAAAAAACAACATTATCGACAGAATTTATTTTCATGCATTTTTTGATGGTCAGAAATGAAAAAATACTGCTCCATTAAAAAAAAATCCATGTTATCGTAACTTTTTTAATGGAAAAGTGTATTGCAGCTGTTTTTATTATCGCCACTCGTTACCAGCTAAAAGGAAAGATATTTCTGCACAAATTATTGTACGTATTTGAGAAACTCTCAACGAGGGTTCAGTAATATTCTACTGTTACATTTTGTCCCCCACTTCTTGTCCTGACTACTGTTAATTTATTCAACCCCGATTAAGTAAAATATTAACAAAAGAGAAGTAAATTACCACTCAGATACTAATTAAAATACTTTTATAGTATCCAAAAGTTCCATTCAAATGTGATTGTAGAATACAATCCACAATTTCTCAAGTAACTTTAGGACCATCCGTGTTCCCGATACAATAGTGCCGCCATCTCGCATGACACGAACGAACTAGCCACTGGTATAAAAAATACCTGAATTTTTTTTCAAACATGGCCACTTTTTCCAAGCAAAAACGTGGGATAAAAATAAAAATATTCGATAATCTCAGCGAACTATACTTACGAGCCGCATAGATCACAAGCATTCGTCCGTTGCGTCTATGCTCCGAGCCTCCGGGGTTGGTTGCCCACCTTCGTCCTGCTGCCATAAATCAACGTCCAAATTAAGAATTTCGGCAAGTCGAGGCGAGGAAGTCTGTTCCTCGAATAACGCTAAGGGCATCGGGCGAAATTTCACCGGTGTCTGTCGATAAATCAGTTTAAGCATTCAGCCGATGAGAAAGAGGGTGGTTTTGCGGTGTAACAGGTGGTTGAAATTCTCATTCGCCGCCGCCTTTTTACTCCTTTATCGGCAAAAAGGGAAAGAATAAGTTCCAGTTTATGAATCGGAGCGCGTTTAACGCTTCTTAAAAGGATAAAGCCCAGCCCCCGACGGCTTTTCCCGCCCGGGGAAATTGCCAGGGGTCCTTTACGAGACCATGGGACACATCGATAGACACTGCGACATTTCCTTTTTCTCGTTCTTTTACGATACGCTCGTAGACGGTTTCCTTTTTCCTTTCTTTCCACCGTCTCTCGTTCGTTCCAGTGAATTGAACATGAATTGAAGTGAGTCATCGAATTCGTTCCACTTTTATTTTCAACACTTTAACATTATCACAAACTGGCTTAACTCTACGGACGACGCGATCGACGCCCTGATCGACTGACAAAACATCACGCGTAAAAATTCCTAGCCTAAGGTACTAATTAAATAAGGTGTGGGGAGGAGGATGATTATTTACAAGATTATTCACAGAGGAAACTTATCGTACGAAGGATCGTTAAAGCTTGAAAAGTCTTCAGATACTAGGATACAGAGTTGTGCGTTCGCATTCTCCAGGTTCATCGTTTAACAGCTAAATACTTCTTAATCCTATTTCAATTAATTTACTAAACTTACGTACAAAATGCCTATTACGTTAATAAATATAACAATTCTTACGGCCAATTATCAATATACTCGAACTTAAACAGGTTTAAAATCGTCGTTTACGAAAATGTGAACAATTTCGTCTTCCCTAAGGCACTATGTTAACTCGACCCAAAGAGGACGACCGGATGATCGATCGATCGTACACGATCCGATCACCGTCTTAGGATACTTTCTCTCACGGTCGATTCTACTGACTTTACCATACTTATTTTTGTACTGAGCAATCCACAAGCCAAATTTCCTCGGCACATCTCCAACTTAAACAAAACATCTTGGAGAGTCCCTGAATCACCAGGGTCTCCACATATCTCCATTCGCGCCCGAAGGGCCAGCCACCGCTGCAAATTTCATAGGATTAGGATTAGAATTTCTATTAGTCGAGCACGTTGCTCTTCCCGACAAATCCTCGACGGGAATCCCGTGATCTTCCACGGATTTTAGGCCGGCATTAGAAGAATCCTTGGGAACCGTTGAGCTGATCGATTCTTGGTACCTAGGTCTTTTGTCGGAGATTACCAAAAGACCATCCGAATGGTGCCTCTTCATGGTCTCCCTTCTGGACACCGCCGGATTGGATCGATTGTAGGTCTTATCGGTAATCACAGACAGAGGTTGTCTCAAATTCTGCGCGATCCCATTGCTATTCAACGACTCGGACGAGTCAGCGACTTCCTTTCTAAGCATATAGTTAGCATCCGCTTTGGGCTCCATAAAAACAGGCACAGGTGACTTGCTGTCGCTTGTCGAGCTGATTTGCGGCTTCTGTGTCTCTGGCGATGAGGTGAAACTCTTCGACGAAGCTGGACTTTGTTCCGGTATCTTGAAACGACGCTCCTGATTGGGCGAATGGGCCTGTGGGTAGTGTTCCGACTGATGGCTTTCGTCGCCAAAACTGGACGTGGACGTGGACGGGCTCAAAAGCGGACTCTGTGGCCTGTTGACGGCGGTGAAAGCGGATGATTGGCCGATTTTGGAAGCTGCTTCCGGGACTGGCGGAAAGAATGGAAAGTTCGCCGATATGGCAGCCGACTGGGGTACCAAAAGAGCCAGCTCGCCAGTAGGAAGTCTGCTCGGTATCAGCTGAACGCCGTTCGGTATCTGTATCCTGGCGCTTCCGTTATTATTCTCGTCGCCATTCTGGAAATCGCTCTGGAAACCGACCTTCACCTCCGGATAGAGGCGTTCCGGCATGTAGGGCACGTAGTGACTGTAGAAGGGCGCCATTTGCTGGAGATTACTGACGCAATTGTTCAGATGTGATACCAGTCGTTGCTTCACAACAGGATCGACGTTCTCGAGGTGGCTGACGTACCGCGATACTTCGGTGGCACATTCAGAAAATCCGGTACGGAATTTCGTTAACACCGCCGGATCGGTGGCGACCGCAGTGCTCAATTGCTGACGCTGCACCGTTTGTAAATGCTTCACCGTCATCTCGAGGATATCGGCCTTCTCGAGCTTCGAATGCCTGGTTGGCTGTGACAGAAAAAAAAGCATTGTGTAATACATCATCGTAAGTGAAAATGTTTATTCATCGAAATTATATTGCTAAAGAATTTTAGAATGATACAAATATTTTGTCGACGTATGAGATGATATATTCTAGGGGAAAAAAATAATCCTAGTGCGCGGTCGGTAATATCAAGCACTGTCAGGCCGACAGTTGAGCACTGCGAATCTCTACTTTATCGGCCAACAGTAAAGAGAAATGGTCCCTGAAGAGGGAAATGTCGGTTTCACCATGTTCAGGGACCAGTAATCATGTTGTATCCTCGGGGCACGGTTAAGAAGCGGACGCGTGGCGTGGGTACCGATCGCTGTGACGCCTCGGAAACGCCCACGTAATTGCTTCGATACGACCTGTTACCTTAATAACAGAGTGGCAACTTCAGTAGCTAGTACAAGCAATTTCGTGGGCTGCCCGAGGCTACCGGCGTTGCGTTTTACTGAAACTTTTTTTCTAATTTCTATATGCAAATGGCTACTTGAATAAAAACGCAAGAAACGGTTAAAAAGGGTAATTCGAATTAAAGGCACGTTGATTAAAGTGTCGGTACACGTTCAATTCTGCTGGTGGGGGACGCTAAGAGGCCAGAAAAAAAGCAATTCCCATCGTGGGAATCCGTTAGTTCGTCGAGAGGCATGCCGAAACATTTTTTCGGACCAGAAACGCCTAGCCCTTTCAGTATTCTTCGGATTCCCACTAGCCTTTTAGGGATCAATAACTCAATACCGATGCAGTTCTACAACTTCGAAATCCTATTGTACTCCTTCTACGCTACGGTTCTCATCCCTGGATCAGGCTGTGCTCGCATTTTTATGGTAAACTAGCGGTCACCTTCGAAATAAGCGTGGGAGTCGAAGAAGAGATCGGTTACACACCCCATTGGGGCTCTTCTATTCCCTTATTCACCTCTGAACGTGTCCTCAAAAAAAGATATACTGACTCCAAAATTGCTGGTGGGTCTTCAGGAACGTTTACTCAACCATAAGTACTTTCGATTGTGAAAGCTGTGCAATTTGATTTAAAAATTGTTACCATTAATTTCTAAACCTTAATAGAGACATCAGAAAAATTTGACCACAAATATTTAAATTAAATTATTACTGTAATTCTCAAACCATAAACAAGAATTTCAGTAGAGTTTATTAAAAAATCGGAATTCTCAATTGCAAAAAAAATGAAGGAATGACGGAATTATTACGCCCATTTTAAAATCAGGGAACACCTGAGTAGACCACGGTGTGTTGTATCGAAAATAGGCGAATCGGCGCGGAAATCGATTTTCCCGCAGGCGAATTCGACACCCGTGAAGATTGGGAGGGCCGACACCTGCTCAAGGAGCAACGAAAAGGTAAAAGCGTCGTCTCGGAGCATCCCCCGAAATTTTTTTGCCGATCACCGTCGCCCTCGCAATGCCTCGGATCCTTAAAGATGATACGGTCAACAAAGGGAGTCTGCAACCCGAGATGAGATTCTTTTTTCTTCGTAATAATTATTTCGAGGTTCCCACGAACGCGGGGGGCGTTTCGTATGGTCGAACGGGACGGACACCGGAGCGAGCAGGTAGCGGAAGTCATCTGGACGAGGAGAGGGGAACGGTGAGAGCGGCTAGCTCTCGTTATATTCCTGTCTGAGAAATCAATCTCGATGGATCGCGTTACGCCGAGAGGAGTCCTCTATCCTTCGAGGCTGGGAGAAAATCTCGTGGATGCTGTTGAAAATTGGCTCAAAGAAAAATATATCCTTCACACCCCAAAGATCTGGGCGACTCCACCCTTAGAGTAGAAGAATTACGTCTTCTGACAAATCAGGTGTGAAATCATTCGAAAAAGGTCAAACAGAATCTGAGAGTACTGTAGCCGCCATCTTCATTCTTAACCTATTTGGACCAATGGATTCCTAATCTTTGAATTTAAAAAAAAACATCAAAACAGTCTGTACTCATGTATACTCTCCGCAGGTTTTGAAATATTTTATTAGAGTTACTGTTTAAAAATTCTCAACACATGGAACAAGATGCAACTAAATTTAATTATTCAATTCTCATGAACCTCGAAATGTCCGGCCTCCAAAATTAACGGAAGAGGCCATGTATCGAAAAGATTAACTTTATTCTATCCGAGTCAATTTCTGTTATTACAGTTCGCTCACGTCGCGATAACAGTGCAAATTGGTTAAAGTCACAATCGTCAGATAAGGAGCGCACGCGCAGTAACCGCGGCAGATTGTTTCGGAGCTCTCAGTATAAAGGTCAAGAGTCGATCTTTTAATTAAACCGATAGGAAAGAGCTCGTTGCGGATGTTGATTAGAACTGTTTGATCAGGGCCGTCTCGTCTTTCCTTTTCTTTCTTTTTTTTCTTTTGCCTGTGAGCGGCTGTCCACCGCTGCAACGTGATTTGTCTTCGACCGTGGAATTGGGACTAGTAGCAGGATGGTGGACCCGTGGTTTTGTTTTAGTGTTTTAGATGCCTTGCCGTGGGAACGGATGGCGGTAGCCCTCTGCCAACACGTAACCTCCGCCCGGAGTCTCCACAATGGCACTTCAGTCCCCGAGCCGAGTGCCAAACCAGTGTTGGGCACATTCCACTCGATCGCTTCTCCCGAGCGAATATTACATCTCCACACGAAAATTGACAATTAAACTGAATAGACTTACTATTCCGGACAATAATTATTTCTACGACTAGAAACTTTGGAAACTAGCTTTTGCCTAGTTCAATGAGCTGGAACGTATGAATGAAGAACTCCAGAAGTACCCTTTTGTAGATCCTTTTATCAAGAAGGATATCTTTTATTTCTTCAATCCCTTGTATTTTATGTACTTGGAAAACTTTGTTCCTTCTCCGAAGGTAAACTCCCTCTTAACGTCAATAAAAGTTTAATCAGTCGTTTCAGATTCTTACAAAGTAAAGGACTCTATTCCTATCAATCTTATTCAATACTTCTACTATTATACTTTTCAATATAATACAACGCAAATTAACTAACTAGGAAATATGAAGCAATTATGACACAACCAACCGAAGGCTCTACAATTATCCCTACTTTCACAACCGTACGATTATCACCTAAACTCGTCGTAATGGAAACCGACCAACAAGCATCGTCCAAAGTGGCAGAAACCGTAAACAATAATGCGATAAACCAGCTTCTCATCTTGACGAATCAGCTCATATCCCCCATCCTCCACGGTGCTCCGATTACGTTTAAATCTCACAACCATCCATCTCCACCATTTCTTATGTTCGATCCCCAACCCTGAAACGATCTCGATCGATCGAATGTCAACAAGAGAAAGAGAAGCTCCGCATATTTCCCCGTTACCTACGCGAGTAGAACCAAAGACGAGATATAAGAATAGACCTAACATGCAATGTAATTTTTTGTCCTATATCAATATTACATTCCTTGCTAGTTAAACCGAAGCAATAATGTATGTATGCATTGCTATATGCAGTCATGTGTGTGTGCTGTGCGTTATCACAGTATCGAACGTAGTTCCTAAAATCGGTAACTTTTATAGAGAAGTGCACTCGACCCAGCGTGATTTTCGTTGGACACCAAGTCCCATAGGATGTTTGGCCTATTCTTATATCTCGTCTGTGGTAGAACTCGACTCCACGTCAACAGATAAGTCACCGGTCACGTTTTCCGCGGCACGTTTCGGGGCGCCAGCGACAACGTGGATTCCGCTAGCGGGGCCAACCTCCGATATCGCGCGCAAACACGTGTGCAACTCGCGCGCTGCGGTCTCGTGCTATCGTCGTCCGTAGGGAGCTTTGCTGATGTCTGTCCTCGCGTCAAGAGAATTCCGGCCGGTCGTTTCACCGTGTCACGCGATTAAGAGATTAAACCGTGCCGCGTGAGACCGCCCTATCCGCGTACCGAGCATTCAGGCACCGATCGATCGGCCGCGAAATCACAGCCATCGACACTGGGGCCGATAACAGGGGGAGGCTTAAAAGGGGAAATCCTTTCGGTACTCACGTCTTTTTTCATCGCCTCCAGAATCAGACTCTTCAACTCGTCCAGGCACTGATTTATCCGGGCACGACGACGCTTCTCCATTATCGGTTTATTGCTCTGCAATTTGGAAATTGGAGATTCAGGGGGAGGCTTCCGATCGTTTGGGGGATCTCGAGGTATTAATTGTGTGCTGTTACTGGAACTGGTCACTGGTGTTTTGAGAAACGTGGTGGTAAAAAACGTTGCACGTGAGTTCGTTCACGTGGATGACACAGATATACAGTGGCGTTATTATAAAACTACTTAAAATTTGCAATCCTTGTGTAGTGTGGTTAACACTAGAACTATTTCTAGTATTTAAGTAAATACTAATTAAAAATAATTTAAAGTATTTCTCAACACGATTTTAGACGTGGTATATTTGGTTCGTTTCTAGTTTAATCATTATACGTAAGAATTGAACATTTTAGGGTGGTTTTATAGTTATGCCACGTAGTGTATAAATCTATAACCTTCGTTGAATGTGTCATGGAGTTTCGAACAAAATTAAAATACTGATTAGCATTTAGTGGAGCTTTTATTTCGACATGTTTTGCAAAGACACATTTACAAGTAAACATAGATAAAGTACAGCAGAATTTATTGAATAATTTGCACTTTTCTCGTGATCACCAGCTCTAATAACAATACGATTACGTGAGAAATACTGGAGACGTGTTTAGGGGTTGTTACCGTTTAGACGATATAGTGACCATCAAAGATGAACACGATTTTACTTGGATAACGGATTACATCCACCTGTCTGAACCTTTACATAGACAATAACGTTCACCATCTTTGTTGGTCACTTATGATCAGAAAGAATTTCTGGAGCAAAACACTTAACCCTCGATCAGAGTTACAAAATCATAAAAAAAACAGTGTGCCTAGTTTCTTCTTCACCTATTTACATTTTGTTCAGCAAGGAACAATTAGTCATGACGAACGAAGAACTGTCAATGGCAGTAGTCACCTCGATCACAAATTGCTCCAAAAAACATTTCCGTTGACTGAAAATTTATCATTACCCTTCTTAGCTCCGCCTTGCTCATCCCCGACTGCATGTGAGCCTCGGGCTCCTCCTCGCTGCCTGACATCTTGTAATTGTAATAATCCACCATTTATGCACCAAATAGATAACACTAGTATCAATTTTCCAGGCAACAAATCGGCAACACAGAAAAAATCCTTCGAATACCTTCCGTACTTTCGATCAAAGTCACAACACGTGAAACTGAACTACTTTTGTCCACAAAGGATCATTCCACGAGGATCCTTGTTATTTAATCACGGATGCTCGTCTATACTGCAACGAGTATATCGAAATGCTAGTGACACTGAGGGGGTTGGGGATGATCGCCGGTACCGACGACGTCCCGCTTGGGGTGTGGAGGGTAACTGTTTGACGTTTTCGATTTCGAAGACCGCATGCCGATGCACTCGCCGTGGCTGGAGTGGGGTGAAGCGTGTCCCGGAGTGGGGCACGACGGTACCCCTGTGGAGGGGTGGGGGGGACCTCTTGAGACCTGTTGATGTGTGGGAATTCACGCAGTCGTCCCCAGGACAAGGCGATATAGCCTCTCCTCGAAATTTGAGTCTCTTCTCTGGTACTCCTTTCGTCGCCTGGCACTTTCTTCTGTTTTTTCTCTTTATTACATATGTGAGTATAAAGATTGCTTTGTATGGAACGTGTAATAAAGAAATCGGGCAATTAGATCTCCGTTCGGTCGAATGAAATCGTACAGGGTGATCCAGAAAGATAGTTAAGTTTTCCATGGTAAGAGACACTCTGAATGTTATAGATTATCTGTGGTTTGTTTTATTCTTATGTGTGTAGAATTACTTTTTGATCAACCTGTATAAATTTCAGGAGGGAAAGTTCCATTACTTCTGGTACAAAAATGATTTTGTTATATTTATTCGTTGAAACTGGCTATAGTTAATACTTCATAACTGGTAGGGGGTTCTTCTTCCCGCGTGTTCTGTTGATTCGATCGATTCCGGTTTCCATCTGCCCGGCAACAGCTCATGTGTTTATATACATTGTTGGTCGCTCGTGGCATCGCAAGGACCCGTTTGAAATTCGGTTCTAGTGTGTACGTATACTACATATTCGAATCCCCTACACACCTTATGTTCAATACTCCATGTGTTACAGAACAATTAGCACATCGAAAGTCAGGGAATTTTCGTGCGTCTTCCCATAACACCAAAGTAAAGTCTTCACCGTAGGAAGTATAGATAAATATAGCATTCGAAATTATATCGTCATACTTTGTCCATTTCTCCAGTATTCACAGTATTGAAGAATATACAAACATTAGAGGTTATCTAACGTAAATATTTAAATTAATTTTGTCTTCGGTGGTCATCAATGACTTCCACAGTCAATGACTGTCGATCATAAACATTCGATGTATTAAAAGAACTATTCAATTACACTCGCTTCAATATTTTTTCAATATTTCAATAACATCCGTATTAAATTGAAAACCAACGTAAATTCCGTCCAAAGCACCGTTATAATTTCAGTAATGATAAAATAGTAAATCTGTAATCCGTCATTTTGACGGGTTCCGTAGTTCTAGTGTTAAAACATTCAATTTTCTTTTGAAAATTCAATCCCTGAGCAGTCTGCCCGTTAAATTAAAAAAAAAAAAAAATCGTTTCGAGTACCACGACGTAAAAAAAGGTTCAAGTACCGCAAAGACGATCGCGTCGGTCCGATTGCCACGATCGTACCCCAACAGCGGCGCGGGCAAAGGCAAAACGACAAGAGGAAAGGGAAGGGGAGAGCACACCGTGTGCCGGACGTGTGTATACATGCGTCATAAGTGTGGCTGGCGCGCGCAACGATGCACGGATGCATACACGGAGGGGACAAGAGGGGCACCCTGTGTGGGAATTCTTCTGAAACGTTAAATAGTGTTTACTCGGGCCAGCGCCGCAATGTTCTCTGCTGGCAGTGTTTCATCAATGAACTCTTTCTTTCGAGCAGCGGTGGCAGCATGTTTTATAAACGTGACGCCATGGGAAAACGCGATATCGAAGTGCGCACGGTTACTGCAACTGAAGAAAGTATTTCCACGAAATCATATACGTACATTTGCAGTTGCTGTGTGCAGCTTTGGTAATTATTCTGTAAACGGTTATTAACTTTTTTTTTTAATGTAACAGGAATTGAACATAATGGATATATTTAATTAATTTAATTAATTTTCATCGTCCATTGCGAACTAATAAACTACACCTCTCATTCGAAGATGCAAGTCGAATACATTAAACAAACATTTTTCATGTCTGAATGGCAAAACACAGGGAATATTTTCGAATTTTAACCTTCAGTATTTACTGCTGGCCAGAGTGGACTATTTGTAACGAGCGTAGGTAACAATTAATGGCTACTTAAGAAAAGTGTCCGTGGAGGGTGTTGGTCCATTGACGCGCGGCACGCTTACGAGCGGTAACACCTTGTCAATAAACGTATAAAACGATTAAAAAAAAGATGAAAAAGAAGCGGAATAACGTCTTACGGTGATCGTAGCGCGTTTATGAACGGCAAGCGTGTTTACGAGAGACAATAAACGACGGACATTTGTTTCGTTTACGAAATCAGTTACAGCCCATTTCAAGAGGCAATGGCCGCCGCAATAAACAGATAAACCTTTATGACCCGCGATTATTGCACCGGAAAACTTTTACTTTTAGAGAGCCCCGTAGGCCCCGTCGCCGTGCCGTTTCCAAGCTTTCCGACTTTATGCTACGTAAACGGTCCCTTTGACCCGCTGATTTATTTCACCTTCTTGACAAACAATCCTCCGCGATTTCGGGACCGATACGGAAAAATATCTTTTTGAATGAACGGAAATTAATGTTTCGTCTCGCGGACGAGCCGATGACGTTGGACATTTTGATCGATCATTCCATGGTCTGGAAGAAATAGATATTTATCGCATAAGGTGAGACATTTTTAGCGTCGAATACTCCTTATTTTCCCAGTTTAAACAGTTCAAGATTTTGACGAAAGAATAAAAAAAATATTCTTTCGAAATGTTCCAAATCTACTCAAGCTATATCAAAATATTTGTCCGAGCAAAAAATGTCTCCACCTTTGAGGACAAATTACTAATAAGCAATAACTACTAGTACTTCAATGAAAAATTGCAAAAAAAAATAATTAAAAATTCCTTAGGATATACAAGCATTTACTTCAGGAAGTCATTGCTACCTCTTCTTACCATTACCACGCACTAAATATTTCTCAAATTAATTACCGAGCTGCGCGTCACAATTTCAAGACTCTCAATCTCCTAGCCTCGTTGTGATTACCCTGGATAATCGTGTGACGCGTCATTGCGTCACAATGTGTCTCGCGATAGTTTCGCGATAAATCGGTTCACGAAACAGCTGTGCCCCCTCGCGTAACTTCCGCGTCCGCAAGGCTCCCCGTTGCCATTATCCCCGCGCATGCGTGCCAGATGCACGATCCACACCGATCCACGGCTCTTGCGCCGGGTCTCCGTGATTGAGAAATCAAGATCCAGTGCCCACGATCGGATCACCGAGCGCATAAAGCCAGAAAATACCATTGGGAACGAACGGGTTGTGCGCGCTCTTGTTTCTCGGTCTTTCACGTCCCTCTTGTGATCACCCTCTAGATCATCAGATAAAGGATTTGAAGAAAAAAAAGCACAGGGGGAAAATATATGCAGGAACCTCCTGCGGTTTGCAAATTTCGTCGGGTGACCCTACGATCGCGATGATTATCGAAACGGATCTTTATAATGACGTTTGACTGGGCAGGGAGTCGAGTGCATTCCTTTCCAGATGAAAGAACATAGAACAGCTCATTCAGATTTTAATTCTCAATTACCCTGAATTGATGATATACACGAATCGTGGCACGGTTAATTCGTAATCGTCGATTAGATATTCTACGAACGCGTTTCGAAGTGCTTTCGGTTCATCCGTCGAGTCCGTTACATTCCGGAAAAAGGATAGGGCCCCCTCCTAAAACTAGGTACTTTATGGTTTTATTTCGGGTACCTACCATCAGTAAATGCATAATGTGCCACGTTAAACTGCAGCTTTGTCCCTGGGACTGGTATATTATTGCGTAGCCATGGAGGACCCCCCGAGCTACAAGAGGGCCGAAGTAAGAGCCTCTGGGGGCCCCTTCTTGCTCCTGCATCTGCAAACTCTGGACTCGGAAGTTCCGACGAGGGTAGGACTGGCTTCCACAATAAAACAGGCCGCGGCCTTGAATTTTGTTTTTAACTTATCGCCCCTCTTCCGGCGATCACGATTCACCGTTAACGCTCGTTATACCTGCGCCACTGCTACGATTCCGATTACACGCCACTGGGCCCCGTTTGGCCATCGATTCGTCGGCTAAAGTAGTCTACAGCCTATATTCTCTGTTTTTCGAGTCTGAAATCCTATTGATACCGAGCAGTTGATATTGCTTCGTACGTGCAGAGAATTACAAAAGCACGATTGTAAGAAATATTGATTACTAGAGAAAAAAAAACAGTTCCCTACAGAACTTTCGATAACTATTTAATTTTCTAGTATCGAGGTACAGTTGAGACCTCCCCTATCCGAACTAACAGGGAGGCAAGTGTCTGATTAAAGGAATTTTTGGGTAATGGAACAATCCCTTTCTGATATACTGAACTTCATTTATTTAAATGAAGATCAGGAATAGTTTGTTTAAATATTTATCGAGGCCGTAAAATTACAGACATTTTTCACTTCTGCGTAGAGTTCGATCGAACAGGAAAAAGTATAAATTATGTCTGTTCGGATAACAGAGCGTTCGAATAATGGAGGTTTTACTTTATACACTGTATTCTGAGTTTCCAAAGTTCCTCAAAAAACTGTGCAAGTTGGAATCAGTATCGGAAAACAAAAGCAATACGAATATCGGCCCGTTAAGAAAGTTCTCATCGTCCGCTTCTGTTTCATTCCCATGGTCCACGATTTCCCATAAATATTCCGGGCTAGCTGTCATAACGGAAGGCGTTCGGTCAGATGTCGCGACCTCCTCATTAACCCCGGGGAGGCTGAGGGCCCTGTAGTAGTACGCTTGACCACAAAACCTCTTGAGGAAGATCAAGAGGCGAGTCTAAATTTGGAACGCCCACCCTCTACTTCAACGGAGCCCGATCCCGGTATACACCTGCAGCCCTCGCACCCACCATGAGAGATCCAACAGGAAGGAAACGCTATCCCCGAAT